AAGGAGAGATTCCGTGAAGGAACTTATATCAAATTAAAAATTGCTGCAAAACTTAAAACATATTTCTACAATATTGTCAAACTTAAGTACAGAAATTACCAGTAAATTATTGTATTTAATTAAGTGCTGGTTCTACCCTTGTCTCAAGACGATGAGGGCTGAAAATCTGAAACACGAAATACCTTAATAAGTAATGTAAGTGCTTAAACAATATTAATGTTAGATAAATACTTATATATCCTTTATCCTAATCTTCAGAAAAATCGTAAGTATTGTTGCAAGTATTATAAGGATAATTTTGACTGGTTCAGAAAATTACAGCAAATATCTTTCAAAAATTTATTACAAAACCAAATTTGCAAACCAAATTATATTATATTTATTACATTTGTTATATAATTATATTATAAGGTTTCAAAACATACTGAGATTTAAGTTTAGAACTTTTCTTATGCAGACGAAGGTTTAAAGTTTTCATTTGGTTTCATTAGTGTACATAAAAGTTAAAGAATGTTCAGTGTGACTACACATGGTAGGTTACATACACTTTTTGTAATTTAAAAAATTTTTAGATAAGTGGTATCATAACAAGATTTTTAATCGCTAAAATATTTGCAAAACTTTTCAATAGTATTGTTAACTTATAATTCAAGTCCAATAATATGTTGTTACTTATTGCTTTACAAATTTTTGAATTTTACCCATGTATTAGGAAGATAAGTGCAAGAGATCTGAAAAACAACGTATGTAGATAAGTAATGTAAGCGTTAAGAAACAGATTTTCAAAATAACTTTTATGTTTTGAATTGCAATTTTTAAGCAAGATTATAGTTAATGTTGCAAATGTTTCTACAAGAATAAAAGTTTTTGCTTGATGAGATTCTGGTAACCGTATACTGAAAATAAAAAAGAAGACGCAACCATTTTTGTTTTAAGTGTTTTTGATGAATATTGTGAGAATAATGCAGTATATAGATAATAGTTTGTTGTCATATAGAAAACTTGTTCGGTTATGAATTGTCTGCAAACAATTTTCTTGAATATAAAACCATACTGAGATGTAAGTTTGGGGCTTATCCTATATAGATATAGTTTTATGGGATATACCTAAATTTATAAAAAAAATATTAAAGCTTAGAATTATTTGGTATAAATTTAAAAGTTTAAAGATAGTTCTTGTAATTTTAGGCATTTCAAGAAAATAGATACACTAACATAGAATTATAAATCCCAACGAAATTTGTAGAATAGTATAACAATAGTGTTAAATTTTAATTCGAGAACAAACATATCTAGTTATTTGTTGTATTCATATAAGTGTTTGTTTTACCCTTCTCTCAAAATATAGTGGGACAGAAATCTAAAATGCAACATACCTGATTGAGTTATGTGAACGTTTAAACAATAAAAACGTAAGAGAAACACGTTGGCGACAGTTAATACAATTCTTTAGAAAAATTATTACTAACAATGCAAATGTTACAAGAACAAATTTCACTGGCTCTTGAGATTGCGGCAACCGTCTGCCAAAAATTAAAACGGGAAATTTTTTTTTTTTTTGCTTCTTTTTCAATTATATATACTTTAAGATTAATAAAAAATGAAAACAAGAATTTATCTTTTTACCTTCTCATTTGTTAGTAAAACAAATTGGTTTTGAGTTATGTTGTTAAGAATACGACTGTACTGGAATGTAAGTTTGACAATTTTTTATATAGATGAAGGTTTGAGGATTATATTTAAAATAATTGATTAATATAAAGGCTTAAGCATATACAGTGGGATTTAGTAGATATTTGTAACTTTGTCTTGAGGATATGAGGGCAAGGTATCTAAAAGATAACATACATCAAGAAGTAACGTCAAAGTTTAAGTAGAAATAACTAAAAAACAACTTTTATGTGGTTCACTGCAATCCTTTAAAAAAAATTAAATGATATGTAGTTAATATTACTACAACGAGAAATTTAACTGCTTTTTGAGATAACGGCAAACGTCTGCAAAAAATTTATAACAAGACAAACTGCTTTTGAAATGAATATGTGTAATAAGACAACATGTATTAACAGATTTTAGCAAAAGCGATAAAAGCCTAGAAAAAAACAGATTCGTCCTTAAAGACAAATTTCGCTGACTTATGGTGTTATTAGATGTATGGCATTAATCTACGTTAATGTTACAACAACAAAATTATAATCAAACAATTTTGACGTCCTTCATAACAACTCTTAAGCAAAATTAGGAATGACATAGCAGTTATTCCTACAACAAAAAATTAAATTGCCCCTTAAAATTATGACAACTATCAGCCAAGAATATAAAACAAAAGTGAGATGCGCTTGGTTTCAATGTTTTTCACAGATACTGTTATAATACCACACTATATAAATAAAAATTTAATTTGCCTGTAAGGATATATGATAATTATTAAGTTGTTTGCAAATTATAATATCAAATATGAAACCATACAGAGATGAATTTTTAAGGCTTTTCTTATACAGACCAGGGCTTTGGAACTATTTTTAGATAAATGGATAAATATTAAAGTTAGAGGATAGTCGGTGTACATTTAGAAAGTTAAAGATAACTTTCGGAAGTTTAAGCTTTTGAAGGGAATTCAAAAGGGAAAATAATTAGTGTACTAACACAAAATTATAAATTGCTTAAAAGTTTGTAAAATACTCCTAAAATATTGTTAACATTTATTTGAGTACATAAACGTCTAGTTACTTACTGTATTTAACTAAGTGTTGGTTTTACACTTGTTTTGAGACGATGATGTGTCAATTCTCGAGCTCAATTATTAGTAGCGAATATTATTACGAAAAAGATGACAGAAGACCTCTATTAATTCTATTAGTTATATTTCTAT